TCTATCGCGCGATAAGTTGTTCTATCGCACGATAAGTTGTTCTATCGCGCGATAAGTTGTTCTATCGCGCGATAAGTTGTTCTAACGCGCGATAAGTTGTTCTATCGCGCGATAAGTTGTTCTATCCCGCGATAAGTTGTTCTATCGCGCGATAAGTTGTTCTAACGCGCGATAAGTTGTTCTATCGCGCGATAAGTTGTTCTATCGCGCGATACAGTGTTCTATCGCGCGATACAGTTGTTCTATCGCGTGATACAGTGTTCTATCGCGCGATAAGTTGTTCTATCGCGCGATAATGTTGATTGCAATTTTTTGGAATGAATGGACTTAACAAAACTTATCGCGCGAAAATTTTTGTGGGTGGATGGCCCTTGAGAGCCACCGTAGTTATGTGCCCATTTCACTCTACATCCAGGAGCATAAATAGGTACTGGCGAATTGTTTATGGAAACCTGTGGGAATGACAGGTTTTAAGACTTTAGCTTTACTCCGATTGTGTGTTGTGCGTAACAGATAATCGAGCCAGAAGAAGTTGCCAGTAAAACTGGACTTGGCTTTCTTCACACAACGCATTGTTTGGCTAACGGAGAAGTTATGATCAGTTCTCTTGGAACACCTGATGGCGAGGGTGAAGGTACGATAAAATGGTTTTTACCAAGGGTGTTTACGAGCTTCAATGAGATGAAAAGTTACGATTTTTGTGACCCTTTAAGAATACCATAATTCATCCAATTAATTCTCGTGCGCTTATTATAAATAGAGATTTAGATGGAAGGCACTTATTCGCTCACATCGCTTTATTCTAAACTTTCTTTTTTACCATAATTTTTAGTGGAAAGTTTTGAAGTTCCTTGCGTTTAGTTTTGTCTTTTAATGAAATATTGGATAGTAATTCCTTCCTGTTCCAGAATAATTTACAGGGCCTCACAGAATTCACCGAATCAAAATATGGCGTCCAATTTGAATTACCATTGTTTTTGACTTACTAGCCTCGTCTTCATGTGGAAAACACAAAAGGATTATCACATGTGTGAGAGGCTAGTAAGTCCAGAACAATGGCAATTCAAATTGGACGCCATATTTCGATTCGGTGTATACCACTCCCTAGTGATGTGAGCCCCCTGTAATTAATAATTATAATAATAATAATAACAACAATAATAATAATTATTATTATTATTAATTATTATTAATTAATTAATTAATTAATTAATTATTATTATTATTATTACTAATTTACCTCATTCTGATGAGAATAAGAATTGTAAATTTGTCTAGAAAGTGTGGCAACGAATTTTCCATGCGTCTTCCTCTTTCAGGTGGCTTTGTCCTTCTGGATGGAGAGACGTTCGACGTCAAAGGACGGTGGGAGTCTGGTCCCCCTCCACCTCTGGGATATGACTTTTGGTACCAGCCCCATCACAATGTGATGATCAGTACGGAATGGGGTGTGCCTAATGCGCTTACTAAGGGATTTAAAGTGGAGGATGTTCAGGCGGGTCAGTGGGGTCTTAAAGTATACACCATTTGAATAGGAGAGTGTTAACACAAGTATCAAGTGATATATAATTTGTTTTTCGCGATTGGTGTTTGACAGGAACTCATTTTTAAGAATGCCAATTGCTGTTTTTACGGGGCCGAACATTTTACCAATTTTCTCGAGTTATTGTCTACACTGTGGAGAGAAAATTTATATGGTTACACACATGTGTTGTGTTTGGAACAGAATTGCTTCGCTCAAAGTCTGTGTATTATCGTTGATTGGTAACGCTTTGATATAACCTGACTTTGAAGTCTCTTTAATTTCGAACGTCTTAGGCAAATATGGATCACACTTGCACGTGTGGGACTGGACTACAAGGACCATTCAACAGACCATAGACTTGGGAGTGGGTACCATTCCCCTGGAGATAAGATTCCTACACGATCCTCGACAGCCGCAGGGATTCACGGGATGTGCGTTGAGCAGTTCCATCGTCAGGTTTTTCAAAAATCAGGTAAATTTCGATAGAATCTGATTTTAAAAAAAATTTGATTTACTTTAATTTAATTTAATTTAATTTAAATTACATTTTACGCTCGCCTATGAGTAGATGGGTATGGTTCACTCATGGGAGGTATGTACTTAGCTTGTCCAAAGAAGCAAACCCTCGGTCCTTTTTGAAAGAAAATTATCCTCTATTGACATCTGACATCCAAACTGCCGCCTGGTTAGCTCATGTTGTAGAATGCCGGACTGCCATGCGGGAGGTTGAGGGTTCAAGCCCTAGACCGGACCGAAACTCAGGGTCTTAAAGTCATTGAGAAGAATGTGCTGCCTTTGCTCTGACATCTGCAAATGGTTGGACATTCTAGTCTTCTCGGATGGGGACGAAAACCCGTAGGTTTCGTCTCCCGCATTTTCTCTGTACTGGTTAGCTGGGGACGTTAAAGAACCCACATACTTATCGCAAAGAGTAGGGAAGTAGCTCCCGGTGTTGTGGTCTGGATTTGATTCTGATATTGGGGGCATCTGCAAATATTTCCTTCAAAAATTGTAGACTGCTCATTGCAGTAGGGTCAAATTTTCTCGCAAAGTGTTGTAAAGCCCCATGAGCTATAGGATATGGCGCTATAAAAAATCGTTCTTTATTATCGTCGTTACATCTTATCGTTGATAATTTTCAGGATGACACTTGGAGTGCTGAAACAGTAGTTAAAGTGCCAAACAAGAAGGTTGAAGGGTGGGCTCTACCAGAAATGCCAGGTAAGGATTTCCTCTCGTGCCCAGTCTCTTTTTGTGCTTTGGGCGGCCGACACGCAATTTTTGCTACACCAGAACAGATTTTTGATTCCCTCCAACATTTTAGTTTATTAACGATGGCAAGAACTGCTGACGATCGCCGGATGCCACTGTAGTCTGCAATGTAGCAACTCACTGTCACTATCAACCTTGAAATTACCAACAGATTTAATTCTGGCCAAATTTTCTCATCCCTAGTTGCTAAACATTTCATCGTAGATGAATCATAAGAATTTGGTGATCTTCAAAATGACGCTCTCTTTCTCGTGAGCTTGTCAAATATCATCGTTTGTTTAAAGGATGGTTTAACCTCTGGTATTTCAAGGGTATGAGGATAATTTTGATTTAGTATTGAAATATTTTCAATACTATTGAAAATTGAGGATAATTTTGATAATTTTGATAATTGAGGATAATTTTGATTTGGTATTGAAATATTTTCCTTTTTACTCAGGACTGATAACTGACATCCTTCTTTCGTTGGATGATAAGTTCCTGTATTTCAGCAACTGGCTTCATGGAGACATAAGACAGTATGACATCACAAACCCCGAGCACCCAAAGCTTGCTGGGCAGGTATGTATTTGCACATTGATCAACAATTTCACGTATCGTCGATGGAATATCGTTGAATATAAAACGGCTTTTCTGTTTTCTTATTGGCCCTCTTTTCAATGTCTTCTTAGATGAATTATCGTTGGTGATCAATTCTCGTATAATTTGAATTGCGCTCTACTGTTGAATTTAAAAAAATTATTCGCTTCAATTAAGTGTCTTCCATACAGTTAGATAAGAACACCGACATGTCTTTAAGGTATATAACCACTTCAGGAGCCTCCTAATTGGGCCAAATTGGACGGAATATTAAACGTTTATTTGAAAATGTTCTTTGTTAGCTGTTTATTGGTGGAAGTATTGTTAAAGACGGTCCAGTGAAGGTGATAGAGGATTCTGAACTGAGTGGACAGCCTGAGCCGTGTTACGTGAAGGGAAAACGAGTTCAAGGGGGACCGCAGATGATCCAGCTGAGTTTGGATGGAAAGCGGCTTTACGTTACTACATCACTATACAGTGTGTGGGACAATCAGTTCTACCCTGACCTGGTCAAGTAAGAATCACTGAAACATCCTCTTATGCCAAGTAATAACCAACCTCGTCCCCAGGGTCTCTCATCTTATTGCCCCAAGGTTGATTGATAACTTAAAAACTGAAGCAGATATTGCCTCATCATTTCACGTTAACGTTAAATGCTTCTAAAAGACAAACTAAAGAAGAAATTGTTGCAAAACTGAAATTACAATTACCTTCGAGCCTTCGTAATCTCAAAATTAAGTTTACACGTCCGAGGAAAAAGCTATTTAGCTCGTTTATCATGCGAATCCATCATAGATCGTGTTATCATTATATCTGTATGTGAAATTCACACTAGTATCTCCTTTGGATGAATGTTGTTTTTCCTATTTTTGTGGCTGTGTATATCCAGGCCTCCAGAGATATTATTCGCCTCACGTCAAAAATCAGTTGGTTAAGGCAACCACCAATGTCTTGGAAATGTCGACATAATGAAAATGACAAAGGGCTAATCTTCGGTGTAAGAAACTCTTTGGTTCACCGATTATAAATAAAACAAAGAAAGCATCAAAATTATGAAGACGGGTTAGGAGTTTGACCAAACGAAAAGAAAATCAAAGCGCAAACAGAGGTAAACCTGATAATACCATATAGGGGCTACAAAAACTCTATTTCTTTGATCTCAATTGCAGTCCATTTATTTACTCATTCATTGCGGGGTTTGTTAGTTTTTTCCTTCACTCACTTTCTGTTTCTTACGTGTGTTCGTTTATGTATTTGCTCATTTATTTACTTAGTTCTATTTTGTTTTCTTTCTCAGGAAAGGTTCCATGTTACTGCAAATCGACGTTGATTCGGTGAATGGCGGACTCAAGTTGAATCCTGATTTCTGTGTGGATTTTGGAGAAGAGCCATATGGCCCAGCTCTCGCTCATGAAGTGCGTTATCCGGGGGGAGATTGCTCCTCTGATATATGGCTGAGTGAAAGCAGATCTGCAAAGTTGTAGGCTCAGCCTTGGAAAATCCTGGGATCATAAGTTTGTAACTTGTACCCGATTGTTTCTGGAAACCGTAATATATTTGAATGTTAGGACAAAAAAATAAGTCGTTCACTGGATCTAAAAATGTTAAAGTCGAATAAGTTAATGTAGAGGGCAGATCTAAACTGCGCAATAATGTTAAAGTTCACATTTATTCCTCAGTGAAGGTGCACTTTTTAAGAAATTGCAATAATTTTACTCACAATGTAAGAGCATTTTGTTTTTGTTGTGAACCCAACACGTGCCCAGCTCAGACGAGATTTGTTTCTTGAAATTAGGCAACGCTTCCCTTACAAAAGTCTGAAAATTACTTTAGTCTTCCCAAGAGAATATATACCCTTGGTTATCTATAAAGTCCTTTGGCGCGTCGTTGTCCTTTGTTCTGTAATTTGCTTAGTTTTCAAATCTTTTCTCCCACAATAGACTTAGTGCTTTTCGTATGGAATTAAGGTTACTTCCTACCTTCAGAGGCCGAAAAAATCGTTTTTTTTTTCTTTGGACTAGATTGAAGTTAGACATTTGAACTAACGTTTACAAAAAAAAAAAATAAAAGTTAATCAATCAGGAAGGTGTCATAATCTCGTAATTGGGCGAACCCCCAGGGGGAATGTTCGCGGCAATTTTTATGTCGTTTGCATATTTTGTTTACATCGCGCACTTGACAAAATTCACACGTGGAAGTTATCTGCACGTGGAAAGTCTTTTCTCATGGATAAAACACATAACTCAAAATTAGAGAGGAGTCCTTAGGTAAAGAAAAAAAAAAATAACAGACCCAAAGATGAGAGAAATGGCAACATTTTGTCAAAAAAAAATTCCTTGCTGAAAGCGACAAAGGCTCTTGGTTTGGCCAGGAGCCTTCGGCAAGTTCGGCATCTGCTGAAGATCGGCAGCATTCGATTATCCTTGGGGCTAGCAGCTTAAAAATTAAAGTCAACACCACAGAAGGTTGTAATTAAGACTCTTCGTCGGAATCTGAGGAAACCGATGGAGAAAAGAAGAATGCGACAGATTTACCCTTTCTGCCGCGGGTTTTTCCTTCGCCGACTTTGTCCATTACTAAACGAGCAACAGAGCAAGATAAAAACGTGACTGCTGCACAATACTTTTCCCGGGAAAATCTTGATCCATTGTCATTGACGCCAGGAGGCTTCGTCTTCTCATTGGTTTGCGGTTTCAGGAGGCGAGATAATCTCCTGGTGTGGCGCTAGTTGTTTAGAAGCTAAAATCTCGCGTTTGATTTTGAGAGGAATACATCCACTTTGAGTAAATTTATAGGGTGTGTAGATTTGACCGATTTTCGTGAAATTTCGCCAAAACAATCCTTACATGATGACGAACAAAAGTGTGTCAGGAAATTTTGATATTTGAAATATTTTTGACGTGATATCCATTTACGCAACACGCCTCGCATATTTTTTGGTACTCTTAACTTTCCATGCGAATATCTAGGGTGCTTACCATTTGGCCAAAAAATTCGGAAATTTCGGTTTGAAGTCAAACTGGTTAGGTAATTTTCCGGAAATTCCTTTCGGAAATTGTGGAGTACCTTGAGAGGTACTCCTCTTTTTCCATTCGGAACGGAAGGTCATAAAATTCCGTTTCCAGGCCTTTCCGCTTGGGTTGCCTTGGGTTGGAGCGGGACGAAACGCCTGATGGATAAATGGTAAGCTCAATCTCATCCGGTTGGTCCATGGATACTCCCTTACCTTTATGCTACGGTTACGCCAATCAGATTTTTCTTACAAATGGTAAGCACCCCTAGACAACCGATCAGAATATCGGAAAAGCCGACACACTTTTGTTGAGTGATGCTTTGTGAATGAGACTGTGCAGCCATTTTTCTCGTGCCGCGGGATCCGATACTCGATAAATTCAATAGAAGGACCCTCGGTCGTTTCACGCCTTACCGGCTCCTGACACTTCCTAAATGAAAAAATCGCCTAAATTATATTTTCATCGTAAACTGCATTTATTAAGCATTGTTTTGATGTATAGTTTGTTTGGGTTTTCTTCAAACTTGCGCGCGTACGAATATTTTCCCGAAGGACACACGCGAAGGTAGGAAGTAACCTTAAGCGAGGAAAATTGAATCAAGAGAAATAAACCGTTATATAATTCACAAAAGAGAACAGCGGGTTTCCTTTCATTTTTCGACTTGTTTTGTTCGGCCCACACGGGAGCCTGTGTTAAAAATTTGAGTCACAAATCCCTATCAAGGCTCCAAGGCGCGTGCGGCTGCGTAAATTTTACAATGCACATTAAAGGCATGTGAAATCAGTGTGAAGCAATTACATTTTTCTGTGATTGCTTTTCAGCTGCGTCTTACAAGCACATGCAATTTGTAGGAAATGATTACTGTGCCCAAATGAATAAATGGGGTAAGTTTCTAAAGAAACTGTGGTGCTGCGTTGGTAATTTGGTAATATCAACCAAGTTGAAATTGTAAATTGGCCAACGTAAAGAGCCTAGTTTTAACTCTTTACGGTGGCCAATTTACAATTTCAACTTAGTTATTACCAAATTACTGCGCCCGAAGGCTAGCATTAGATGTGCCTGGGCGCACATTCAAATGCGTCTGGTTCCATTTTCAAAATCTGCAAACAGGATGTTTTTCTTTCCCTTTTTGCGATGGTGCCTTGCGAAAACAAGATTTTCGAAAGAAATGTTTGTTTCTTCACGTTAACTTTTCTCGTAGAGCTTTTCCTATTGGAAAAGTTCCTATTGGAAAAGCTCTACGAGAACTATTGATTCTCCTTGCGTTCAAACAGATAGGTGCTTACCGCGCGCGCGCGCAAGATGTCGCATGCCCTTTAAGCGCATTTTTTTGAAATGAATCAATAGTTGTTTCATGGAGTTAACGGATATTTTACACAAAAAATGATGAAGCGTGGATCTTGCTATCCTTACCGGCTAAGAGACCGGTTTAAAGAACTTTTTTTTGTAAAGTGATGTCAGTGTAGCTCACCGAAGATGAACCGACGTTTTAAATGCCTTTTAGAGTTGAGGTCTTGCGCCACTGGGTGACGCGGAAGATGACGCAACAATAAAGATGCTTTGTCGTCATAACAAAGCAATCAGGAAATAATGAAGTTTTCGAGCGGTGTTGATTTTCAAAGTGTTTACTGCCATGTTAATTAAGCACTTCAATACGTGAAAATTGCAGGAAGAAAGTATCATCACCTGAATATTTGCGGCAAAATGTGTCGAACCGGTTTTCCAAGTGCAGAACCATTCACAAACTGGTGTCAGCTACAGGCTTCAAGTTACTGACCGCAGTCAATAAGGTGAGATTTTTCACGCGTAACTTGAGCAAACTAAATTTTTTACTGTGATGCGTCTGTTTTGGCATCTTTTTAGACTGCTTTCTCCAGCTAATTTCGACAGGAGAATGTGCACTGAGTGAGTTAACTGTGTCGGTTGTAACGTTTTGTAGTACCCATGTATGCTTCAATCAGCGCTCGTAATATTTTCGCGTTTGAAAAAAAAAATTGTTACAAGTACTTAGTATAGATTTGGCTTAGTACCACAGGTCTGTCCGTAGAAGTCTGCCTCGCTCAACACTCATAGTTTTAAGCAAAGACAAATTCGAGGAGTAAAAAAAAATTCACCAAACTCGTTTAACCAGTGTTTTTATTTACAATAAAATACAGTGCCTTCATTAAAATGCAGCGCCGAGAGCATGCGTTGACCGTTCAACACGAAGGCGCGCTATATAAGGAAGTCTTCGCTGGGAAGACCGTGGCTCATTTGTATTGTTTACTTCCACCAGCATGGTGGCATGAGGTAACGTGCGAACCACCTACTTCGATCTCAAATTTACCGCCACAAATAAAGACAGTTTCCATTGGAGAAAGGAAATACAAATCTCAAAAATTCTTGTATTGTGATGAAGACATAAAACAATTTTGAGGAATGCGCCCGCTGTTCACTGCTTTGGAGTAGCTGTAGCTAAAGCTGACTTGACTCTAAGAGTTCTACATCACACGACGATTGATTGACAAATGGTCCAGTGGGACCTAAGGCTCGTTTTATAGCGCGCCTTCGTGTTTAAAAAAATTGATTCAAAATGCATTTAATGTACGCCAAGTCTCCAAAACAATATTGGCCTCTAAATTGAACTTCTCTTCGCTGCAGACTGGTTTGTCTTTTAGTCTCAATACTTTCTTGTTCATCTGTTCTCGTCACGGCTCGTCCTAGCAAAGTAAACGGAATAGTCAACGAAGCACTTCTTATTGCAAGGATATCATTTCTTATTTGTTTGTTTGTTTGTTTTTCACACCTTGGGCTTTAAACATGTCGAGGAATTTTGGGTGGGCCAATATAATTGGGCTAGTGAGCGGAATTGGTACATAAATCGTAGTTTCTTTCACCAAAACAAAAATTCTAAACTCGACTGAACAAACTCAGTGTTAACACGCGAGTTGTAGTCATCCCTGGACATCTACCTGTAATGGGACCAACCTGTCCATTAGTGAATTCGACGCGACCCAGTTTCTCTGAGTATTTTGGATTAATGAGCGTAGGTTTTGTTCTTTTTAGACTTGACTCTAATAGCAAGTTAAAACCTACCTTTGTGGAAGCGCTAGTTTCGTCAACAGGGCTCGGTTGAGGAGGTTTGTAAAATGGATCGCGAGTCTGCATTAGTTCCATTAACCTTTGATAAGATCCGTTTTCTGGAGTGAATAGGTTTCTCTGCAAAGCGAGACATGGCTAAGAGTAAAAAAATGCACAGAAAGAAAACTGGTTTGCACGGTTTAGGATAATCAGATAACTACCATTGTGGCAAAGTCTTGAATTTCCTTTCTTCCCGTTGCCGCGACTATAACCCATTTCCGATTTACCCTGGTGCCTCATATGATTATTAGTTTTCAAATGCAAATTAAACTAATTCTCAAACGAATGATTGCGCACCAGGCCTTATGTTGAAAAAGAGGCCAAAGGTAATCCGGAAATAGCCTATTCATCCATCGAGATGCTGCTATCACTTCCCTCTAAATTATCGAAGTTGAGATGAATCCCATGTCTTTGCTCCAAATTCTGAATAATTAAAAATTATTACATGTACGCGCGCTGGATATGAGATGGTGGTAAACAGCCAACAAGGCGCCTAGCGCTGAGTTACCAATCTCGTATCCAACAAGCGCAAATGGAAAAACTGATTTATCAAATTTCATACAATCCTGAAGGTTTGGATATTTGGAGCCTTTTTTCAGTTCTACAACTTACAGTTGGGGCAAAGCAATTTCATATAGGGCGATTCGGAATATGAGCTGATAACAGGAGTGAAGTGAACCAATCAGAAAACAAAAAATCTAAAATCGGAATTGAAATTTAATAATATCGGATAGTGTCTAAACTCATACTATAAGCAAGTATCGCAGAATAGCGCTGTGTTACTCACACTCAGTGATAACCTCATAAGTCCTGTTGGTTTTCCCACTAAGGATGTCACTTCTGCTTGTCTTTGTATGGAAATAAGAAAAGCCTCCACTCCGATTTCACCACATTTATTGCCTAAAACGTGGAAAAAAGATAAAACAATCAATCAATAATTGACAATAACAAATACCAGAAATGAAAAACAATCTCAGCAAGGAAAATTACCCATTGTTGGTATCTTTTTAAGCACTAATTCTGTGTGAGTAGAAAAACTTACGCGACAAGTTGAGGTTGATAAGAGCTCTGTTTCCTGGGATAATAATTTCGCCACCCTCTTCCTTGATGGGGTTTTCCAGGAGTGGATTAGGGAATTCTACAACTTCAGGTTGCTGTAAATAAGCAAATAAAACCATTTATGTGACTTATCTTTAAGAATTTTTCAGTAACATTGATCATTATATAATCAACTAAGAGAGCATTCAGTGACCTTCTCTTGATTCAACAGAATATATTATTTGTAGGTACATGGAGAAATACATGTAACTGCAAATGACCTACCTCTTGTTCAGGCTGTTGCACTTTTTTATCACCTTTGGTTGTATTAACTTTTTTCCCTTTACCAACGCTCTTGTTGACAGCTTCCGTAGAAGCAACTAGATGAAAATAACAATGGATTAACTTAAAGTTACCGTTTAATTTATTTCTTCTAAGTATATATACACTATCCGTGCTTGCATGACAACATAATTATAAAAACTATTTTCCAGTCTTACTTACTTTTCTTAGCCTTGTCCGTTTCTTGCTTTTTTGTATCCTGCAAAGCAAACAGTATATTAAGTTCTTTGATATAAAATGTGACGACAAAAGAAGTGAAAGGAGCTAATTAAACAACTCTTAACTCTGTAGTTTACAACCCACGTCAATATTTTCCATCCTTCTGCCTTATTCTATCCATCCCCATGTTTGCTATTTCATCAAACTAATAATCCGTGCAGTTTCTTTAATCTAAGTTCATCACCGATCATTGCCCTCATCACCTTTCATGCCATAAAAATCTCGAAGTCGTGACCTAATTGTCGACTATTGAACTTGCAGCTGACTTCTCAGCTTTGTGCCAGATTCTCGATAAAACAATCTGAGCATTAACCTTCGGAGATTTCTTAGGCGAGAAAGAAATGAGATGGCAGAAAAATATTCGATAATTTACAAGTGCAAAGATGTTTTCTTTGCGCTCAAGAGAAGTTGAATGAATAACGAAGGTTCTCCTATCTGGGTAAATGTTTACTATATTTACTGTAAAACTGAACAGTTATTTGTTTCTTTAGCTTAAATAATATCACAAAAAAATTATCATAGAAGTTTTAAGTGTGCACACAAGCCTAGTTGTATATTCAGTGCAGGAAAAAAAATGTGAATGAATGCCAGTCCCTCTGGAAAGGATACTTGTATAATATGTAAAACCTCTTCCAGACAAAGATGAGGGACACTGCGTGCGTATTACACGACATAGGCTAATTGTGTTGCGATTACTAACAGTAAGTTTTGCTGCTGTTGCAAATGTTACTGCAAGTCGCGAGGAATGACGAGAAGGCTAAAAGAGAAAATTTGAACAGCACTGATGATGCATGGAAGTTGTTGTGAACCGATATGAAAAATCATATTAGTTGGTTAGCGTTATAAGAAAGTGGAGGTAAACGATTCTCCGAATTCCCAAACAAGGAAGTTCATTTTGTTTCAAAGTTGAGTTTCTTCACTGACTTTGTACAACACAATATCGTCGTAAAGGCAACACTCAAATTTCAACTCCCCGAAGACCTGTATTAACTATTTACGAAGCATTATAAGTCCAATAAAACACTGGATCTTATATCAACAAAGCCCCTCCCGTCGATCTACAGCTTAGCACAGAATGTAAACCTCACCTTCTTCTTCTGGGCGTCCCTTTTCTCGCGGCTCTTTTTGTCTTCCTTGGACATGTGGGTACTAAAGAAAGATAACTAATAAGTGGTTGGATATTTCACAACCAGGATCGCAAGATAAATTCTCCTCCCTACTGCCTTCCATGCATTTCTTATAGACCTTGGCTCTGAGATTTTGGTGTTAAATCAAAGAGTAGGTTAATATACATTTTTGTTTAAATAGAATAAGAAAGATGGTAAGTTTTGAGGTCGATAAAGAAATAAAGTAAGATATTTTTCGTCCTGTCACGTTCCTTTTTTTTCGTCTTGCCTTGATAGTATTTTTTTTTCTTTTTTTTGTTTTGCTCTCAGTACCAGTCTGCTTATCAGTGTACCAATGTTACGGAGCGAAAATACATCCTAGCGACCTCTGGTTGTACCTGCCGCTTACCACCCTCCTTTTCTGTGTGAACCTTGTTATTCGGATCAGATTTATGGCCCGCGCGCTTTGCGCTTGGGCCATAGATCCAAGCGCAAAAAACGAGGTTCCGTAACTTAAAGTACGGCCCGAGAAAAACGGGCACAGTAAGATAATTATTTATCATAAATCTGGGTTTAAATGGAGGAGGAAGACTTCAATTCCAATTCGACCAATCGAAGTGCACCTACAAACTGAGAGTTACAATAAGAGTGTATAACTGTCAATCTCAGAGTCCGCGTGTTAACCAATACACTACCGCATCTTCTCATCTTCAAATTAAGCAGCACTTTTAACAGCCTTCAAATCTCTGATTACTTTGCAAATATAATTTATCAGAAAACACTCACCCACTACGAACACTGGCTGGCCTGTCCTTTGAACCACCGGTTGGAGCATTCAAATTTCTTGAAGGACTCCCTGCCTATAGATGGTCAATAAAAACAAGGAGATCATTTAGTCTATCGCACATCGCACATGGTTGAGACACAACTCTGACTAAACTAATAAATTACAAACTTACTTCTTCTGGAGATTTTTTAGAAATAAGAAGTCTTCTTGCCACAACTTCCTCGTGAGAGAGAGCAAAGCTTGAAAGCACCTAAAAGGAAAAGAAAAACATTTAACCAGAGTATGAGACAAACTGCTTTCAGTAAATGTAGCCAAGTTATGAGCATGTCGTTAAGTAAGAGATGTACCGGCTAATCATTGTGGTTTCAAATTTAAAGTAGGCTTAATAAAGGAAGAAGAAATTCACAAACGAAAGCAGGTACATTTGGCTTTTAGGGCGTGTCCAGGCATAAGTTTCATGCTCTATGCTTCAGTTGTCAGTACCAGATGTTCTAATAAATGCTAACCTAAAGCTAATGTTAGGTAGGTCATATTTGATTGCTTACTTTGCTTACTTTGCATAGTACGCACGTGTTGTTTGGCTTGATTGCAGCTTATTACCAGGCTTTAATTTCATCCTTAGGCAAACACCACCCATGCAGGTATCAAGATCCTCATTAGAACATGTTTGTGTAAGTTTTATCATAAGCTACATGTAGATTCTGTAAAGAATACAAGGGACGACTATACTCTTCACTCACCTCTGCTAATTTAGATGCTCCATTGTCACCGATAAGATTGCTTCCAAGATTAAGAGACAGCAGAGTTCTATTCATTCTTAATCCCTGACCAAAGAAGGAAAATGTTTGATTGGAGCCATTTGACATCCATCGTTATTATTGTAATCAGTTTTTGTTTAGTGATCAAAAGATTGGTAACTTACATGACTATCAAATGCTCTCTTTCAGGAGCAACGACTAAATGCTAAACTGAATTACAAAGCTGTGCACAACTCTGCTTTTGTTGCATGAATCTTCTGCAGAAACCCCACACCTCCTGGATGGTAGGCTACTTTACTCTAGTTACCCTCCTCCAATATTCTGCCACATTTCTAACAGTTTGATGGCTTTAATTTATACTCCAGATGGAGAGAGTCACGAAGAGGGGGGAGGGGGGGGGAGGGGACAGTTTTGTGAGGACATGATCCCCTGCAACTTAAAATTCCTAGCCCCATGTTTCAGGCACAGATCATAATGTAATCCACGCCAGACACAGTCATCCTTGCTTACCTTTGCTATCCAGGAAGCTCCTTCACAAGTTATTTTGTTATAGCATAAGTTCAAGGTTGTCAGTGACTTGTTGGCTGTCAATGCTCTCCCAATCATCCTTGCCCCCATATCATTGACGTAGCAGTTCCTTAAGGACAAGTTCTGTACCCTAAATTTTTAAGAAGATCATAAAATTGATAAACCGATGTATCCAAACATCAAATAATTCAAGAGTCAATGGGTAACTACCTTGCGTTGAACATTTGTACAGGGCACTGAAATTTACAGTTTAAAAATTGGGTAACTGTGAAGAACAACTCCCTGAATGAACCCGTTGGCTAACAGTCTGCTGACAGTTGGATAACTGTGGGCCAAGTAATGGCCAAAAGTCTTCCAAAAGTCGGCCAACAGTTTTAAGTACACAATTACCAATAATTGTTCAAATGGATGCTGTGTATCATTCGGTCACATTTATTACATGTTTTCCACTCGCATTTTCAATGACTACACATATGACATGTGCATGTATGACAATATTATTGATTAGACAAGTGTACTGTGTAAAAGTAGTTTCCTGACTGGTGTACCTGAACTAATGACCCATAAATTACATAATTTCCCTGCTCTGGCTGTCTTCACCCTCCCCAAATTAAAGATTTTAGTATCAAATTCAAAATTAGATATAGTTTTCTATCTTTAGCTAACGTTAAGTAATTTTTCATCATCATTGAGTGTTCTTTCTTCACCCCCACCCCCCACTGGTGACTGAATGATCATGCAAAATTTCTCTTGTCTTCCTACATGTACTTGTGAGCCTCATACCAAATTTAACCCTTTACTACCAAATATCAGAACGCAAACTCTGCATACTGCTCATTATACATTTCCTCATATGCTGACAAGGAGAATTTGTTAAGAAATAAAAAGCTTTTTTAGTTGTTTTTAGTTGTAAATAAATGTAATAATAAATACATTATCTGTGACTGTAGCCAGTTTTAAAATTACTTGTTAATAACCATTACAAAAATTCAATAAACTTACGTGCTCTCTTCACCGAGAAAGATCCCATATCTTTGAAGTGTTACTGGATTGTTGTCCAGACACAGTGTTCTACCAGTAAGAAACAAAAAGAGTTGAAAATGATGTTTCTGCTACCTAATTATTCAAATTATGTCAGGCCTTTGGACTTTAATAGTGTACTTTTGTTTGACTTAATCTCACCCTGTCTGGTGTCAGAGAACTTCATTAAGTACAAGTTAAAAGAAAACTTAGGTATAAGTTAAATTATAACATAACCAATTAACAAATGGTAAACACCACAGCGTACACTATTGAGTTATGGATGCACGCGGGAGGTTGCTAAGCACGAAAGAAGCGAAAGAGTCGCTCGAGGCGATAGCCGAGAGCGACTCTAGCTTCTTGAGTGCTTAGCAAACCTCCCAAGTGCATCCATAACTCAATAGTGTACGCTGTGGTGTTTACCATTTGTTAATTGNGTATAAAGCGATATCCTTACAACTCTTCAGTTTATTAATAGGCAAACTCACTTCTGAGCTACAGATCGCTCTGAAGTAGCTTCACTCTGCTTGATTATTTCAGCGTTAAGCTTTTTTAGAAGTCGAGAAAGGGGGTCGCACTAACGATTCCGATGTTTGAATTTGACTTAAGTCCTGTCTTGACATCATACGTATGAGACGTGCTGTAAGTGCCCTTTTGTTCTTACAAGTCACCACTGTGGTTTTTGTGGTGGCCGAGGCACCTTTTGAGATCAGTCAGGCCGATGTCCCAATTGAATGTCCTGCCTCAAAGCAGGTCGTACCTTGCCGGATGACCTTGATAACAATATTGCGTGATGTTCTACTCCGTACCAAACTCTGGTCGTTGAAACAAAGACACAAAGCCTCCGGACTGTAAGAGTGGGGCAGGCAGGTTCCGTCTAAGGTCGCATTCTGACAACAAATATCCAATAAAATAAAGGGGTGAGAAGGTTTGAACTCCTACCTCAGTAGGAAAAGCGCATAGCAACTGAAGAGTGAAATGAGTTAGAATGTTTGTAATGTACGTGATATTTTGATGAACTAAATGCAAATTATTTGATCGATAATGATTCCTTAAGCTGTCGGAAAGTGGACAACTGAGTGTAAAATGAAATTAGTAATGAAGTAATGATTAACTAAGCTCATCACGTAAGCTTCGAGCTCCTTGAAGACGATCAGCATTAAGAGGCGACATTTGCTCTCGGCTATCGCCTCGAGCGACTCTTACGCTTCTTTCGCGCTTAGCAAACTCCCATGTGCATCCATAACTCAATAGTGTATGCTGTGGTGTTTACCATTTGTTAATTAAAAATAAAAAAACAAAATTAACAAATTAAATACACTGTATCATTTTGAGTGCCAAAATCAGGAATACATGTTAATTTCATTACTGCATCACTTGTTCACACTTGTATCACACTTTCCTTAGATAAGACCTAACTGTTTTATTCACTCTTTAACTCCCAACACAATACCAATAATATCAACGATAGAGAAAAAGTAACAGTTCGGAGACTTAATTGGCTGATCCAATACCTAATTCTCCAAACTAACATCATAACAATTGTACAGTGCAGCAGACAGAAAGGAGAATCACTAAAGTGATCTGGGGGGTGAAAGGGTATTAAACTAGTAAAATAAAACAAATGAATGAATTCAAAACATGGACATTTATCTTACATACCTGAGACTGGGAAGATGGCTGATAATGTGAGTAGCTAAAGTGTTCAAACCATTGTCCTGAAGGCCAGTGTTCCACAAACTATGGTCAAGAAATTATTATGTTAGTAGTAAAGCAAGTAATTTACAGATACAATCTACAGGATTGTACAGTATATCTGACATTAAGTGCACATCACAATAAGATATATTGACAAGATTTTCTTAATAAGTGTTCCCTGTCACTTTTTTGAGGTACATGTACTAAGCACCAACAAAAATTTGTTTAAATACTTATAATATTTTCAACCTTTAAAGAGTGCTTATTCCAAGTGGGCAACTATTTCAAGGTGGGTATACTGAAATCGAGCATTAATTTGCTCTATATTAGATAGTTTTCACATGACACCATAGTAGCCACATTAGTAAAACCGTGAAACAATTAAAAAAAAATGGCCATGTTGGTTTCCAGGCCAGGATTTGAAACCCAGTTCTCATGTAAAATGTTTCTTTGATTCCAATAAATTTACAAAGCTGCCCACCATGAGATTGAAAACATCCTATTTCTTAGTTCACATTTTCTTAATATTTCATTAATCCAATTTACATAACAAGACAGCACATAACTTTTAGAAAATGTACTCACTCAATTGTAGTCAACTTTTCCAGGGGTGGTAAAGTAACAGTCAAGATATTTAAGATTCTGTCATCTATTTTCCAGCCTATATAAACAAAAGAACCAGACTGTAATTAAAGCAACACCCTATGATTAACAATTATTCCCCAAAGGCGAGGTGAATATCGTCAAATAATCCCCGAGATGAAGTCGAGGGGATTAATAGTTTTCGTTTGAATTCGAAACTTGCCCCACTATCTGAACCCAGAGATGTAATAAATATCTTGTTTTCTCCACTCACCTTATGGCCCGCACACTTCATACCTGGGCCATAAATCTGAGTAGAAAAAATTTCGTCTGTAACTCACACCACAGACCCCAAACTTGGTTAGTAAGAGGTACTTATGGCCTTGAATATGATTCTAACCCACTCTTACTTGCACTAAGACACTGGCAAGTGTATTTCAAATCAAATGGCTTGTAACTGACTCTATAATCACTCAAGTTAAGGGTTATACAAAATTGTTGGTTGTTCATAGATTTATCTTAGGTTGTTCACTACACAAGATGATTAGAACTGCCACACTGATACTAACAACTTAATATTTAAGTGTATGCATGGCATTTAACAAGAGTTATTTGCCCCTATTAAGACAACATACTGTGATGGAAAATATTTCACATGTGTGGGTTTGATAACAAGACATTGTAATCCTGATCAATAAAACAAGGCTGGCTGTTTAGTTGAATTGCATGGCAGTACTAAATTATGCAACTGTTAATCAAAGTGTTTATAACAGCACTCTACCTGTGACATGAACTCTTACAGTGCTAGACCTTGAAGATTTCATGTCATGAAAACATCTAATGAAAAGATCTCTTTCTAAAACTTGGCTGTGAGAAAAAATGGTCTTTGTACCTTGATAGCCCTAGCTAATAAATTATCCTACACAGTACATACATTCACTTGGCTGTACAATATTATAACTTCCATAATGCTAGGATAAACAACAAGTAATTTGCTCCATCTTGGAGCCAAAATCAAAACTGACAATGTCACAGACTAGGCTGATAGAGTAACTGAACAAAGCACAACTTTTTGTACAACAATATAACAACTTGATCAATTAGTAAATTTGTAATAATTATTGTAATTGTTTTTGGCAATCACCAGGTATGATCACTGTTCAGTAGCTATAGCTTGAAATTCACAACTTTTAATTACTAGCAAGAGTATTACTGTTAAGACCCAGATAATTGGTTTTCTGCACAACATTTTCAACTAACACAATACAATTTCAATACGTATTAAAATCAACATCAAGCTGTTGGTTTAAGGATCAAATGTTGAGCAATTCAACCAAACCAACAGTAAACAAAGTTTTTCACTTATCAGTAATTAATTTTCTTACTTCAGTGTTTAGCTGAAAAAAATTATACTTGAATAATTGTTTACAAGCAAAGTGCAAGATTCACTTGAAAAACTATAATTTTTTCAACCAACAATCAAATTTGTATTGAGCAAAATCGCCATTTTCTGATGAGATAAAGCATTCTTGGTCTGGAATTTCTGCTATGACCTCCATCCAAAGCACTTGCATGTAAGTATAATTAACATCATGTGCAGATTCCTTCAAGGAAGTGCTTTCTTCACTAAAAGCACATCTTTCAATTCTTTGATAAATCATGTTATTGCATTGTATGTGTCAAAAGCAAGGTCTTTGTGCATACTAATTAATTTGTTACCAATGAACATGCAAACATTCTTTTCAATAACTATTAATTGTCATTGGACCACAAAGATCTCTTTTCTGATAAAATCATTACAAATTCATGATTTAATACATTTAAGATGTTGTTCAAATAGGACAAAAAATACAAGAAAGAAAGCAAAAGTTCCCACGGTCGTTTTCCTTAGGAGAACCCAACAACTGTAAACAGGCTTATGCTGATCATTCTTTGTGTAATCTTCACAACCACACATACATCTGTACCCCATAATTATCAGATCTAAAGACTCTGCAAGCAAATTACAACTAAACACTGAAAAAGCTCTTTAAATATTCATTATCATCAATGCAATTATGAAAGGTATTACCCATTCAATCTCTCTTCTAACCAATTTAACAACTTGAAAAAAACAGCAAATTGACATAAAATACATTTTCTTTGTGTTAGAGGTTTGTCCAAAAGATTAATTTGACAATCCTGAAACAACTATCTAAAAATTAAAGTGAAATAAACTTAATGTTTGGAAATGTTTGATGTTTGGTTCATGAGCAAGGGTTTGAACCACTCCTGCACCCTGCACGTGAAACCATTTGAAAGGACCGACTTTGCAGCACTTTATTTACATCTGCAATCAAAAGGGTAAAATTGACTGCAAAATCCTTCCTTTTCATCCCTTTTTTTTTCATGAGGACTGAAATTTTTAATACTGTCAGTATAGATCTACATCATTCCATAAACAAAAAAATCCTTATACTGAAACTTGCCCACAAAGGTGGTGTGGACTGCACACATGTGAAACCATAATTTCTCAAGAAGGGCTTCCATCAATTAACTAGTCACAGAAACTTCTCCAGCATGGTGATTACAACATCTGCATGCTTTGCTTTTAAGTACCAACATATACTCGTGATAGGGTAGAGTTTTCCCCTTCCGCCTGGACTGAAGAGACTAATTTCCATCAGAAGTATTCATGGAGGTCTATCTGACCTAGCAGTTTGCTGGTGTGTACATTTTATACTATATAATACTCTTAGATAAAGACTGAGGTACTGACTGAAAGAAAACATCATTGCAGAGGTCAGTGGTTCGAATCCCGTACAGGCCTGAAATTTTTTTCAGGTCTGATTTTCACTATTGCTCAAATAGTGCTTTACTGCGAAGGATCGTGCTCATATACATAAATCCCATAGGTTTGGACAGATAGGTGTAAAATGGTCAACTTACAGCTTTTTTCTTAAGAGACCCTCAGAGATCTACCAACAGACAACCCATAAAAAGTGATCAGAATGGGAGTTTGACATGTCAGTGAGAGTGTTCTAGTGGATAATGTCCAAAGGATCATGTAAAAAGTAGAGTAATGCACACACTCTAACTCAGATCATGACTGTACCTTGAAGACTAGAGAGCTGTTTTGAAACTTTGAAAAAAAAATACTAAGTTGCAACAAAAATCTAGTAGAATTCAGGAAAAACTAATTGAGTTATACATCTCCAGTTATTAACTATCATGGTTATTTTTTTATTTTTTTTTTTATTTTTGCATATTCATTTGCAGTCTTGATGACCAATTGCCCATTTTACCCAAGATCCAAGAACAGATCTGGAGACAAATTTTAATTATTTGATTTTACTTCAGAGTTCTGTTTAATTTGTTCAGCAAACATGTATGTGCAATGAATTTCCCCGTAATTTCTCTCTTATTGCCTTCTTCCTTCCAACTTCCATTTCAAATTTCTGAGCTAAAGTGAAATCATAAATTATCGGAAAAACTGCAGAGTCTGAACATGTAAAGTGTTTGATATAAGTGTTCGTCTTTCAAGAAAGAAAACTATTCCCTTCAAATTTCATCTTCAATCTAAATCATGAAAGTTAACATTACTCAATGAACTGACTTGGACAATTGAGAATCAACAAATAATGTGGAAAATTCATGGGAATTTATCTTTTTCTCATGTTCTTATGCTGTAAACAGAAAAATATCAAGGGAATGCATCTGCCAAAACCCGCATATTGTCAACAAATCGAGCCACGGCAACATTCAGTGCAGCATTAAAGAATACACCTTTGTCTGAGTTTAACCCTTTAGGTAAAGTGAATTGCAAGCACGGTGCATGCATGGAGAGATGTCAAAGATCCCCCAATTCATATACTTTAGAATATTTTCAATAATATTCGATTTGCGTGATGTGCATATTTCCAAACCTTGCAAAATGTAAACTTATTGTCAAAATGCGCAATTACCTCCATACCACATAAACGTGCTCAGGTAATCTTCCTCTTCCTCTTCAATTTCTATGGCGATCGAAAGCCGACCTCCACCGCTTCGGTCAGCTTTCTTCAGAGCGCGCTTCATTCGTGTAACGGAGCGTAACGTAGCAAACATTGTGATCTCAAATAAGAAATTGAACAGCCGTCAAGCTGCGCTCCACAGCAGAATATGAGTCCTTGGCGACCAAAATCTTCAAAAGATTTACCGTGTAAAACAAAAAGGCCTTTCTCCTTTTAGAGGAGTAAGTCAACAAAGTTGACGTGGGACAAATGAAGTCATTAAAATGATTAGCGTCTTCAACAAGAGAAAATCAATAACGAAAAAGTCAATTGTCTTTAAGACCAGAAAAAGAAACGCGCCATTTTCAATAAAGAAACTGTCAAGGATGTCATTCACATGTATTAAAACTGTTTTTAATGTTGACCGACTCGATAAAGGACAGCGAAATTCGCACTATGATCACACGGAAAATTTGTACGTAAGTAGACATTTGTCTATGATAACATCCATAAGACGCTCGAGTTAAACTACTTTGATGGCACCATAAAGTTACGAAGAGGGCATAACACAAGAAGAAATATATGCTATTTCCTCAACGATAGTTCGGCTGACCTTTCACTCAGATTTTTAAGTGCTAGGAAAAATTAAACGGCGACCTGACAGAGACTGTTTTGTTTACCCAAAAAGAATATCTGTTTGCACAACCTTACAAACTTTTAAAAGCTTATGAAAGCTCACAAACTATAAACAGCGGTAAAAAGGGGAACATACAGAAAGCGATAAGAGCATGGATTCTTGCTTTCAACCCAAAGCTCAATGTAAGTTAACACATCGAGTTATGTTCGACAGAAAACCCAAATCCTGAACTAACTGTACCAGGATCACGAGGCAACAATACTTACCAAGTTCGACGGGCTGTTCTTCATTTTCCTTTACATTTTCCACTGGCGTTTTATCTCCTGCTCCTTTATCGGCAGAATTACCACCTTTATCGGGTTTTTCTGTTTTATCAGCCTTCTCTGACGCTGTTTTCTTCGCCATATTTCATTGCTCAACAGTCATCCGCCATTTTGGTTTCTCTTTCCTTTGTCGTCATGGTAACGTTTATTCCCAAGGCTAAGAAATGGCAGCGGCATCTTCAACGCCCAACTTACCTTGGTGTCCCGTGAGTGAAAAATCCCGCCTGTGTCGGCTCAAAAGGGGAGTATTCTCACGCGCTCTCACTTAGAAAGTAGGTTTAACAGCTACATTTTGGAAAATAAGGGCCGAAAGAGGCCTGAATTCCTTAAGAACTGTACATTTTTTTCATCTCCGGCTCGTGCGGCATGGTTTTTACTGTCTCGCATTTTGAAAATATGTTCATGTATTGAAAATGGATTTAGATCGCATTTTTGTTTCTAACCTATAGGGAGCCGCAAACATTTATGCTTTGACATGTGTCTTCGTCACGACCAGAGCTATCAAGGAATTTGTCAGTTCAGACCGGCGTTTTTATGAAAACCCGCCACATCTATTTGGCAAGTTACCATTATAATTGGGACAAAACGGTTTTTTTTTTTCTTTTTCGGTGACCCTCTAACACGGGAAAAAATCTTCATAATCTTCTCGGTCAATTTTCAATTCATTAAATAAAACTTAAAAGCATCCACCCGCGCCGAATTTTAAAGAGCATAAACCAACCTTGTCTCTTTGAAATTATTCAAAAGGCACGCCAAATGTGAAAAAACTGTTCGGAAAAACTATGTCATTTTCCTCTAAGTTTACTTATAAAGTCTGTCCTGTCTTGCCTAGCTTGTCATACACGTTTCCACCGAAAGTTTTCGTTAATTTAAAAGTCCGTCATATTCATGAAAGCATAACGAACTCTTTATCAATAGATGACCTGCCAAGAAGCTGGTACTGGTGAACGCCATCACCTAAACAAGCCCATGGCTTTGATTATCTCGACCAATCACATTACGGCGTTGAATACAATGCAATGATCTACGAAGGGGACGATGAAATGAAAATGTCGGAGATTTCCTGACCCAACAACAAAAAGTTCTATTGAGAAAAAAATGTTAGTTTGGAACTTATGAGGAAAGTCACCACTAAGACTGATCTGATGTAATATATCACCTGTGACGAAAATAACTCGCGCCATAAAGTAACCAGACTAAAAATTGTCATTTCAATACGAGTTTTGATTGATTTTACAATCTGTGATTTGGTTTAAAGGACTTAGGGGGAGAAACAAGAATACTGATCCACGATTAGGACTTGGCCGGGCTATCCGTCAGTTATCGAGTTTAACTCGAAGTTGCACTGAGCTAGCTTTGTTTAGCAAGGAGAGATCCCACCATGGTTTCTACTTGGTCCACCGACATAAGATGGTCTAAGCTTCGTCAGTTTGAATACGGAGAACCCAACAACCACCTCGGAGAATTGAAAAAATCTTTAAACACAGCTAGCGACGAAAGCGACGACGAATGGTTGGCTCAGCTCGAGAGAGACTACGCCACAGCGAAGAGAAATCATCGAGCTTATTGGACTTCTTTGGAGAGAGCATTGACACTAGCGGTTATCATCTTCATTATTATTACCATATCTTTAGTTTTTGTACTAATATTTAAACCGTATAATATGGCCGTGGTATTCGGTGGCAGTGGACACAAACCGGACATCTGTGAGTCGCCAGGGTGCATAGCTGCGACATACAGTATTTTAAATCATCTTGACAAAAACGTCAATCCCTGTGACGACTTTTACAACTTTGCTTGCGGAAACTGGTTCAAGAGCAGTTTTATTCCAACCGGGCACTCCAAATGGACAGCTTTTCATCGAGTTTCGGACAACAATCTGATAATACTGAAGAAACTTCTCGAGAACAAACAGCTCGGCTTAAATGGAAGTTCTACAGTTTTGACGAAAGTGCGAGATTATTTTGCTGCTTGCATGAATAAATCCGTGATTGAAAAACGAGGCGCAGACCCTGTCAAGGAACTTATTCACTTTGTAGGTTCGTGGACGATAACCAACGCCTCAGAGGTTGGACCCTGGTCACCAGAGTCGTGGAATTTCGAGCAGGCCCTTAGTAGAATTCACAGATTGAAAAGTATGCCTTTGTTTTATATGTTTGTATCGGCTGATGACCGGAATTCGAGCCAAAACATCATACAGGTATGAAACAGTGAAATATTTTTGCTTATAAGAGCAAAATTTTCTATCAATATTAATGACCTCGCGTCTTCTGTCTTCATTCTGTGGTCTAGGCTAATAACTAAGCTATTTAGAAAATTCATTGATGAAAGATGCTCTATGACTATCACTCCTCTCCTTTCTCGACTTTTTCGACGAGCCAAGTGGCCCATAAGGCCGGCGCTTAACTCCGGTTTCCGTAGCATAAAGCGACTAGGAGTATTTCTTCTCCCCACTGGATGGGATGCTAGTCCTTTGCAGGGTTACCCCCAGCATTAAATTCACCGATACCTATTTAAACACCTGGGTCAAGAGAGGCACTGTGAAAGTAAAGTGTCTCGCCCAAGAACACAACACAATGTTCCCGGCTGGGGCTCGAACTCGGACCACTCAATCCGGAGTCGAGCCGAGTCCGGAGCCACCGCACCTCTCATTTTCGACTTTACCAGCCCAAAATGGATTCTCACGAATGAGGTGCTGATGTGCAGGTCTCACGGTTTTACGTACACTTTGTAGCCTGCGACTAAAATCTTGCCAAGTGATAAGATTGCAATTAAAACCTTTACGACGACAATTTAAGGAGGCTCAGGGAAACACAGGGTACCTTTCCTGTCGCTGGACTAACGCCTAAAACCCTCACTTTTTCAAGTATGTCGGGGTGGAGAAGTCAACTTTTAACTCGAACTTTTTCTATGCCTCCTTAGGTTCAGCAAGCTGGCATAACACTATCAGACAGAGATTATTACTTCCGGAATGAATCAGATAAGGTAAATATAAATTGACTTTCTGGCATGGGCAAATGCACTTCCAATTACTTGTGAAAGGGAAGTTAAAGTTACGGAGCATTTGTTGTACAGTCGAATCTTTGTGAACGTAACGGCAATTCGGAAAGAAGGAGAAGCGTCCGTCAACCTGTCTCGATCCCAAGCTGAAAATCGACATATCTAAGCTAAACATTTGATCTTCATCTTCAGTCCCCTTCTTTTTTGTTGATGTTAGTATTACTTAGTTCTCCATTAAAAAATAAATAATTTCCTTGGTAACAGTAAGTTTTTTTAGCCTAACGGTTACGTAATTGCTTGATTATATAGGTCTTGCAGGCGTACAAAGAGTTCATGGTCAAGGTGTGTTTACTCTTGGGAGGTGAAATTAACAGCACACGGCATCAGATGGAGGAAGTGTTTCAACTCGAAAAGAAATTAGCCAAAATTTACGAACCAAAAGATCGACTCAGAAACATGGAGCAGATTTATCACAAAATGACGGTAGCTGAACTTCAGCAGCTTGCACCAGCGGTAAGAAACCAGATTCAGCTCCTCACCCTGCAAATAAGAAACTAGTTGTACTTTTTATCTCGAGGGAGGGGAGAGGGGAGTCGGAGGAGTTTGGGGGGGATCATATGTTTTTCAGGGGGGACGTAGGAAGGATCTGTCGTCTCTTGTAGAGTATAGAGTGCGGACTAAAGGAAATTGACTGTCACAGAGGGGGGGGGGGCATTACTGTGCTACAGGACCCCAGGAGGAGGGGGACCAGGTCGTTATATAACAATAATGGTGTTTAGGAACCAGTTGTTGTTTATCGTCTGGAAGGGGGAGGATTTTGCGAGGGGTTCAATTGGTTTTCAGAGGGAACGGAGGCGGGATCAGTTGTCGCCAACAGAGTATAAATGGGAACTATTATGTAGAAAATTGGCGACCAATGTAAGAGGATCATAATAATATTACTATCAATCGTGACACAACCAAAATCTTCCGACCCTCTCCCCTTCCTCCCTAGGTAAGTTTTAGATAGTATACTACTAGTCCTTGTCAGAAGAAGTAAGGCTAACTACGTTTCCCTTTCAGCGGACAAGTAAAGCCACCTAAAGGAATTTCCATTGTTAAATTTCCATTTATTTAATATATTTTATTATATTACGATACATGTTTTATGAGGGTCTAAACGGTAGATATGAAGGATAGAAAAACGTTTACCCACGATTATGTTGAATCGGTGTTAATTTTTTTGTTCATTCTCCTCAGATTTCATGGTTGGATTACATGAATGCGATGTTTAGCAGCCCGGTCACTCATCAGGAGTATGTGGTGGTTTATACCCCAGAATACTTGAAAAACATGTCGAATCTTGTCATTAGAACGGATCGAAGGTAATGATGAAGTGATTTGATAATCAAACAATCGTTTTTTAAACTCACTCGAGTACGGCTGTAACAGCCTTAAGTGGAAGAACTCTAATGCAGATCGTTTTAACCTGAACTTCTTTACTATTTTTGGACAGCTCTTTACTGCTCCGTAACTGATAAAGGTGAAAAATTTCAGAAGTTTAACATTAGCGGTTTTCAAAACTTTCAAGCGATGACGACAAGTCTCTTAAATGGACGGGGGTAAGGGGAGGGCGGCCTAAAGGAAAGGAAAAGATAAATACTTTGTATTTAGTCTATGTCAACCAAAGCGAGGATGGGGCTTGCCGTCATAATTACCCTGCGCTTAATTATTAATCTGCTGACAAGAGCTTATAGGTGAATCTACTTTGTGCTTTCAATTTACAGGATTTTAGCAAATTACATGGTTTGGCATCTCATCAAGCCCCTAATCGGGGAATTGTCCAAACCGTTTCGTGATGCTTCGCTGGAATTGTTAAAAGTTGAGAAAGGAGTGGAGACCGGGGCTCCACCTTGGAAGAGCTGTGTCACAAAGACTAACTCGGTCATGGGGTTTGCTACAGGATACTTGTACATTAAGGAAAGATCAGGAAAAAATGCGAAGAAACAGGTAGAGGATATACTCATCTATTAACATTTCGAGTCGTCCGTGCAACGTCGGAAAATTCCGTGCTTTTTAATAAAGTTTTTTTCCTTCCCATCCTATGTCATTTTTCACCCATTTAGACTGTGGAGAAATTCTCAACTGAGTATCGAGATAAATCCGCGATTTCATTAGCTTTAGCCTCCTTCGCATTGTGACTGGTCAGGAAACTAAAACTAGCTACGTCTTCAATTGATCACTCGCGTTTTCTGCGCTTCATGCGATCAACTGCGCTTCAACGGCACTTCAACCGCACTTCAACTGCGCATCAACCGGATTCTTCTCGTCACTAGAGCTTGACCACATCATGATATCTTCCCTTGCTTTGAACGGCCCCTGTGATATTCTCGGTTTTGTTCAGGTCACCCAGTTGAAAAGCGCTCTAGCTGAAGGTCGGAGATCCGATATCATGTGTAAATCACTTTAATTTAGACAATTATGGAATCTTTCAGCAGTAAGGTTGGGATATGATTTAATTTTTATCTCCTTGTTTTGCCTCAAATAGGCGGAAGAAATGATAACTGAGATCAAAGGGGCTTTTAAAGCAAATTTACCCCATGTGAAGTGGATGGACGAAGAAACGAGAGAGAAGGCTTTAAACAAGGTAAAGTTGGATGTGTCAGAGCTCAAGATGCTACGAGTGTGACGTTCGAGGAACATTTTGATTTGCACTCACGAGTTAAAAATGTTTAACGTGTTCAGTTTCCTCTAAATGTCTAAAGCACAATAAACTCTGACATACTTTTTATTGCTAATTGCAGCATGACAGGACGGAAAACGCGTGCACTGTAAGTACCTCCCGTTGCCTCATACAAAGCCTTAGAAAACTTTTCTAAGGCTTTGTATGAGACAACTTGAGGTAGTTACGGTGCACGTGTTTTCCGTCCTGTCATGTTTAACACACTCGTTCAACAAATCGTCTCGAAAAATCAGTTACACAATCAACGCGCTTCATTTGCCCACGAGTTGCATATCGTTGAGCCTGATCCAGGCATTCAGTTAGCAGAACGGAGCGAATAGTGGCGGGAGAGCGAAAACGAGGGAGGCTTGGGTCGAATGACGTAAAAAATTAGGTGACTTGACCCAAACCTCTCTCGTTTTTTCACTCCTTCGCTGCTATCATGCTGTCAAGTGATTTACTTCTAACTGTACGGCAGGAACAGATTGCATATCCGTGACTAACGATAAAATGATTCTACTGCCATGTTCACTTCTTTTTCAGATTACGGCAACTTTCGACATGATCGGTTACCCAAAATGGATAGAAGATCCAGAAAAACTCGACGAATACTACGAAAATGTATGTTTTGATATTAAAAGTTAGCATTTTAAAGGAACCTTACCTCATCGAAGGATATTAGGTTTGGCTGCATTTGAGGTGGGGTTGATCAATTCAACTTGTGATATTCATTAAAATGTGCATTTTTTTTCCAGCTCACAATAGATTCCGAAAAAAGCTTCGAGAATTATCTAGAGGCCAGACGATTTTTCCACAATAAGTCCATAAACAGACGACGAAAGCCAGTGGACAGGCGAGAGTTAGTGAAACTTTTCCTATGATTCTACCTTTGACATCATGGAGCGTTTTTCATTTTCGTTTACAACCACACACATTTAGGCCTTTCACTTTACTCCAGCTATTACGGAATAGATAGCGAATATGGTGTCCAATCATATTGCAGCAATCATGATGAAACACTAATTTGTGATATTGTTGCTTTTGTCAGATGGCATATGACTCCTGCCGACGTCAACGCTTACTATAACTCGCCAAACAATTACATAGGTAAGAAATCTTCAAATTTGGCTTTTTTGTTGCTGACTAAACGTTTGCCTGGTTTGGGTAAATGCTTTGATATTTTCATCCTTCATTTCTGAGTTATGTTATTTTTCTTAACAGCTTTCCCATCAGGAATTCTTCAACCTCCATTCTTTGATCCGCAATTTCCACAGTAAGTTCTGTAGATCTTCTTCGTAGCATTTTGATTTCTATGGCGATGAGATAATCGTCAGATAAGCTTTCCTTGAGCTTGCACACCGATTCCTTTGCATATTTTAGGCCATTGGCATTTATCTCTGTACGATATCTTACGAGAAGACAGGAACGAGTAAGACTGTAATCGGGTGGTCAGCACTGTAGGACATTATTCTCGAGTTTGTTTCCATTACAAAGTAAAATAGAAGATTTCACACTGAATATTTTTCATAGCCAATCTCGCAAGAAAAAAAAAGTGTTCGTAACCGTTTTTTTTTTATTCCTTGACCATGGGGGTGACTTTTGGTTCCACTCATTCTTACTTGCTTCCGGCAAGTTGTTTTGTACAAGTTGTGCGGTATGATCAGAAAGTGTTAACGTCCAACATTCTTTATCGCGGCGTAGGTCAGTTAATTATGGCGCAGTTGGAGTGGTAATGGGACATGAACTCACCCATGGATTCGACGATCGTGGTAAGTTTGTACGATAACCAAAACAGTCCTAGGGACACATTTAATAAGTAAACACTTTCCTTACCATCAACTGAGGCCATGTCTAAACTCATAAATTGCATTGACTTCAGTGAAGATTCAAACTTCTATTACATGGCTTTGATGAAAATCATCTGAAATTATAGCGTGCGAGCGCAAGAGAGAGGGAAGTTGGTGTGCCTTTTATTTTCCTCCCACGGTTTAAGGAAAATGTTGTTTTTGCCAAGAAAAGGGAATAATTTCGATATGACACCACGATAGCTTACAACGATAAACAGCTTGACATGGGGATTTATTATCACTTTTTTTCTTCTTTTCTTCTTAAAGTACGCTATGAGTTTATGATGTTATTTATCAATCAAACCATATTGCTCGCAGGTCGGATGTTTGATGAACATGGTAATCTGGCCAGCTGGTGGAACAACCAATCAGTGAAAGCCTTTCAAGAACACGCCTCATGTATGGTGAAACAATATGGCAACTTCACTGTTGCTGGAAAGAACGTAAGATTGTCATTTTTTCCTCTTATGTTTCTCTGTTATGTGGGAAAGTGCATGAAAGATTTATGTTTTAAAAGATAGCAACGAGTGAAAATTTTAATACATACTTGCATACAGCATCTTAAATTCTAATTTTATATGACCTTATCCTTTTTCCTTGCCGCAGGTCAATGGAAAGCAAACACTTGGCGAGAATATAGCAGACAACGGAGGGCTCAAGCTTTCCTACACAGTAAGTTTGTTCCTCTGCATGGCTGAGCGGTGTTAGTTAGATAAAATACAGCAGGTTATGCATGAGCGTAATTTTCTCAATGCATATGCACAGTTATTGTTGCTTGGTCGAACACTGGAGATTTTATCCGGAATTTCTTCAAAATATAGGTAAAATCTTCTCAACAAAATTACCTTATGATGCTTCGAACCTTGAATGATTCAGAGGTCTTGCATCAATTCCTTCGCAGGTAGCCCAAGCTCGCACAAAGAGCCTCCGTTAAAATGCAAAGTAGTGTGTACGTTGCACAGTGGGCGAGATATAAGGATTTGTATGGGACTAAAACAGTCGCTCTCTCGGCCTAAAAATCTAACTAGTTTTTAATAGAAAAAAACAAAACACACAAACCTACCTCGCATAGGAGGTTTTTCCTTAAGTGATCGAGCCTTCTGGCCTGATTTAGGGCCGCTTAGCTTGGTGTTACTTCATCTGCTTTGCCCTCTATATTGGGATTGGGCTCGGGTTCCGATACGTCCATGCCAATTCCTCTTTTGTCGAAATGTTCTTGTTGATTCATTTGTAGGCTTACCAGAACTGGGTCGCGAAAAAAGGCAGAGAACTGAATCTACCTGGCTTAAATTTCACTCCGGAGCAATTGTTTTTCCTTGGATTTGCTCAGGTAAACTAAAGGTTATCTCTCGGCTGGATTTCGAATCTGAAATTATTATCAATGAAAACTTAATTTTTGAATTGATTAAAAGAGTGTAAGTCTAAATTTCACATTACAAGCTATACAGTTATCGAGCTTTGGAAGTAATATTATCAATCATGTTGAAGTAAACTTGGCAAATTTCGGGCCTATTTCTGATATATGTGTTTCATACATGTGAACGTTAATATCAACTTTCCGTTTTAACTCTTCATTCCGGCCAGGTATGGTGTTCAGCAAGTTCAGACGGGCGGGCCCAGCATGCTTTGCTGACTGATGTACACAGTCCTGAGAAAGTGAGGTGAGTTATGGATAAATGAGTCTCCGGGACAGTAAGTGTTTCTATCCCAGAGAACCGCTGAAATCCCTGGATGAAACGGCATTTCTTGAATTAAGACTTTAACATTGATTATCACACAATAAGTAAATGTAATAAAACTGCGTGGAGTCCAATTCGGTCTGTAATTATACGATTCATAACAAAAATTTGTTTATCACGGGTATGTTTACAGACTGAATTGGACGACGCGAAGTCTTATGACCGATTAATCAAGATTACAATTTCCGAGAAAAGAAGAAAATCCAAGCAATGAAAGAAAAGAAAAATTTGCATTAAAAGACTGACAATGATTTAGATAAACTACTTTGAATGTGATTGGCTGATGAACCGTAGTACCCGATAACAAACTTTATGATAACAACTTGGCAAGTGAATAAGTGGAAAATAGGAGTTTTATAATCCATTCATAATCAAAAAAATTGTAATTTTTATGATTAGTGCATGATATCGAACTTTTTATACTTGATTTTGAGTGAGAATCTTTGAGCAAGCAAGAGATAGGTATCCGGCATTAACGTGCGAATAAATGAATATCAAGTGGAAGGCCTTTTACAGGAATAACCCTTCTAACTGTATGTTTCAATGCCTCTTCACGCATATAGCAGTGACACAGTTGACTGCAATAAATATTGAGAATAATCTAACCGTTATGACATTATTTTGTAGGGTTCTAGCAGCAGTTTCCAACTCAAAGGAGTTTGCAGAGGCTTTTAATTGTCCTGTCAATAGTTCTATGAATCCGATAAACAAGTGTCATGTCTGGTGATGCTTTAAATTAAATGGCAATCAGGTTAAGAAGTCAATAGCAGTACAGCAATTCACAATTTCGCTGGTGACGTCGAATCACAGGTGCTGTGGTCCAAGGGTTCCACTAGTCCTTTGAAGAAGGACTTGCGGAAAGTAAACGGTCCTTGCTCCCACTTCCAAACACGTCTCGCGCTCATTGCCTTTCTGATTATTTTCCATGAGGCCACCGATTCTCCAAATTCTGATCCCTCTTTAGACGGAGAGATGGCATATCAAGACTTGTTTTAAGACCCGACCTCCAGAATCGATTCAGATTTCAGACCTGTCGAATTAAAGAAAATTTTGCCTGTAACATATATCTAGCTTATTTCCCATTCTCTCGGTGGCGGCACACACCGAGAAAGCTAAAGTAGGAAAGACCTCCC